GCTTCTGGAGGCAAGCCGTTCCACTGATTCATCGTTCTAACTGTCAGGAAGTTTCTCCTTAATTCTAGGTTGCTTCTCTCCTAGATTAGTTTCCATCCGTTGCTTCTTGTCCTGCCTTCTGGTGCTATGGAGAATAGTTTGACTCCCTCTTAATACTAATAATACTAATAATGCTGCTGCTGCTGCTGCTGCTGCTGCTACTACTACTACTACTACTACTACTACTACTACTACTACTACTACTACTACTACTACTAATAATAATAATAATAATAATAAAGTTGGAAGGGACCTTGGAGGTCATCTTCTTTGTGGCAACCCCTGAAATATTGGAACTGCACACACACGCGCGCGCGCGCACACACCCACACCCACAAACTTCTGGTTACCCTGCTGCTGTTGTTCTCTTTTATTACATGCAAAACAAACGGAAATAAAAGTTTATTGTGCAGCGCAAAGCCCGATGGGGCGAAGGGGAGGGTCGCTTGGAGAGCCTCCCGAGGAGAATTAGCGAGGTGGTGGCTGCGTTCACACAACCGGGGTAACCAGGTCATTTGAAGGTTAACCTGCCGGTTGTGGGCAGCGTCTTCTTGGGAGACAGAGTTGGGCTTTTTTTTGAGGACCCGGTCGGGACTCGAACGGGGGCAGCGCCTAAGCGACTCATCCTTAGCGGACGTCAGGTTGGAGGCGCCCAGGGGCGCGTGGTTGGAGGGCGATGCCGCTGCCCCGGGCGCCCCTCTTGCTCTTGGGAGCGGTGCTGGGGTCCTTTACGCCGCGCGGCTTTTGCGGTGAGTTTCTTGAAGGGTTTTCTCGGGGGGAGGGGGGGAAGGAAACAGGCAGGGAGGGTGTGGGGACTGCCCCATCAATTCCCCCCCCTCCCAAAAAAAACCCTCTTTTGACTCCTGGAATTTAGAGAAAGTGAAAAGGGAAATTTCTGACTTCTGTCCTTCTCCGTGTCCTTCCACACTCCTGCCTGGGCAATGGGCCAAGTCCTTAGCATCCGGCTCCCGCCAGCCAGCCATCTCCACCCTGATCAGCAAACTTTATCCATGCTTGGAAAGATTTCCACCCTGGAGACCAATCAGGTCTTTAACTGGCTTGTTAACTTCCACGAAACTCGGGTCTACCTGACACTTCCCAAAGTGGACAAGGGGAGGGGGGAGTGTCGCCATGGAGATCAGGCCCTTAAATAGCAGGTTAAGAACCCCGAGGACCCAGGGGAGCAGCAAGAACATCTTACCCAGATGTGGCCACCTACTTGTTCAGGAGAGGGGGGAGGGCTGCTGTATGTCAATAAGATGTGGGAGGGGATGGAACTGCTCCACCCCAGTCAGCAAACTTTGCGGTGGATCGCCTGGAAAAATCAGACGGTGATCGCTCCTCTGGGGAAGACCCAGTTCTGAAACTCACTTGTTAATTTCCATGTGAATTGGGTCCCGTTGACTCTCTCCAGAGTTAGCAAGGAGGTTGCGATCAGGGTTACACACACAAGCAGCTGACTGGGAAGCCAGAAACCCAGAGAAGCCCCATCAGCACCCTAACCCAAGGTGGACTTTCCAGCTGTTTTCCAGGGTCAGCCACTGAATAAAATTCAATGGTAAAAAAAGTAAGGTTCTACATTTAGGCAAGAAAAATGACATGCACAGGAACAGTATAGGGGCTATTTGGCTCCTCTTTACAGATGACACCAAGGTGGCAGGAATAGCCAACGCTCCAGAAGACAGGCTGAAGATACAGAGGATCTTGACACACTTGAACATTGGGCGCTATCTAACAAAATGAAATTCAGTGGTGCAAAAAGCAAGGTTTTACATTTAGGCAAGAAAAACCAAATGTACAGGTATAGTATAGGTGGTACCTTGTTCAGCAGTAGTAACTGTGAGTGGGATCTCAGAGTCCTAGTGGACAACCACTTAAATGTGAGCCAGCCGTGTGCTGCAGCTGCCAAAAAAGTCAACACAGTGCTAGGCTGCATTAACAGAGGGATAGAATCAAGATCACGTGAAGTATTAGTACCACTTTACAATGCCTTGGTAAGGCCACACTTGGAATACTGCATCCAGTTTTGGTCACCACGATATAAAAAAGATGTTGAGACTCTAGAAAGAGTATAGAGAAGAGCAACAAAGATGATTAGGGGACTGGAGGCTAAAACACATGAAGAACGGTTGCTGGAATTGGGTATGTCTAGTCCAGGGGTAGGCAACCTTGGCTCTTTTATTTTATTTATTTATTTATTTATTATTTAGATTTATATCCCGCCCTTCTCCTCGTAGGACTCAGGGCGGCGGACAATCAATTAAAATACACAAATAACAATACAGATTTAAAATTAATTAAAAGGAATATTAAAGAATTGTCCAATTTAAAATATTGATTAAAACCCCTCTAAAAATTACCCTAGGCCAGTCCTGCGAG